TGCCAATAGATCCCCTATCTTGTATGATGGACCTTTGAAGCAGGGTTGGAAACTTAAACACACACACACTATTGATTGTAAAACAGTTCTTGATAGAACCCCTTCCAGAACACCAATTTTCTAATACCTTAGAACAGTGGTTCTCAACCTGTGGTACGCGTACCACTGGTGGTACGCCAGCTCCTGCTAGTGGTACGTGGAGGAATCTGACATATAACAAATATTTAAAAAAATATATATTACATTTTTTTTTTTTTTACTTAAAGGAGACCTATCATGCTATATTTGAATAATATATTGTAGGGCCATACCTATATAAGGTATATTTATAAGTTTTCTTTTTCAAAATACCAAACAGATCATGCATTTTAGCCATGCCTCATTTCGCTCTATTTTCCTTTCCTCCACCCTGTCTTTGGCTGCAGCTGACCACGCCCCCCTGCAAAGGAGGGGGCCGAGTTACGAGCGTCATGTTACAATGCTGTTACCATGCCACGGCAACCTCTCATTCCCCTGATTAGTGGAGAGTTGGCCATATAGGCGGAGCTCCTCGTCACTGACGTCCTATTTTCAAATCTGTAACAGTCTTTTTTTTATTTTTTATTTAACCTTTATTTAACCAGATATGTATCAGATCCCGTTTTTAGAGATTTTGGGTATGGAGGAAAAGAGAGAGGGTTGTGTTTTCTGACACTTGGTGAGTTCCCTGACACAACGGGGACACATATTCATGTATAAAAGACGTACAAAGGTGCATTTTGCATGATAGGTCCCCTTTAAAGGTGGGGTAGGTAATTTTGGAGAAACCAGCTTCAGTGCGCTAGAATTTGAAAATACGCAACCGGAAAAAATCTGCCACTTCCTTACACAGGGTGTCCGCGGGTCTTAAAAAGTATTAAAAGTTGATAAATCAATTTAGCGAAAATTAAGGCTATTAAAAAGTATTAAACGGCATTTTCCAAGGTATTAAGAAGCTTCACAGCAACGACAACATGAAACACCCTTTAATTTACTNTTTCTGAGCTGTGATTACACATTGGTTGCGTTCCGATAATCCAAAAATCAGCTCCTAAATTCTAACCCTATCTCCTATTCCTTGACCGTTTCACTCAGAGGTCAAGGAATAGGAGATAGGGTTAGAATTTAGGAGCTGATTTTTGGATTATCGGAACGCAACCAATGTGTAATCACAGCTCAGAAACCCTATTAATATTTACAGTAAGTCATCATCACCCTCTCTTTCTCCATTGTCTTGTTGATCCTTATCTAAACCCAGTTCCTGTATTGCGTCTGCCTTTTCAAGGAGTGGAGGCCGGTAGTAACCAGGAAGACGTTTTGGCATTCTCATCACTCATGCTCTGACTCAACACTGGGGCGTGTTGAGCAGCGAGGCGAGGCAAAGACATTCTCTGCACAGCGCTAATTTGATTTCCCTTGAAATCTGCGGATTATTCTTAATAGCGATGACGACTGTGTTTGAGATGAGTTTTCCCGCCTCTCGAAGAATGTAGTTGACCTTCCAAACTTGAAAGAAAGTTTCCTTGGCTTGAATTCGTCTCTGTCGTGTCACTTTACGCTCATCCGCACGGAGAGAGGGAATGTTAGCACTCTGCCTTTTCCTACCATGGGTTATAAATCACAGGCATGAGATTGTTATGGAAAGAAGGAAGTGTTTACATCATGCTCTCCAGATTTATTCCTGTCCATGCGTAATGCCTTTTTTTTTACTTATCTGTTATTGTACTACAGACCTGCACACTTCTCCTCCTGGCATGAACATGGGGAACATCATTTCCCATGTTGATAAAAAGCCTAAACCGTCCTTGAATCATGTTTATTTTGACCTCATTTGTGAAGTGTATTGAAATAGGATAAATGTAAAGACACGCCCAACCCCTTCTCCCTCATACGTCGCAACAAAAGAGTATGGAAAAAAACCAAACATCTGAAAACATTGCTTGTGTCATTCAGTACACCCGGTCTCCTCTTGTTACGTAAGGATCGGGTTTCCCCTATTCATTCTCCGCCTCTTTTTCTCCGTCATAAGAAAGACTCGCATAAATCTGTGTAACCTTGTAATCATGTTGAGATGAAAACAGGAAGTGGTCAACAGGAAGTTGTAGGAAGTGCCTCACGGGGGAGTGTGCTGCTGGGATTTTCTGTTTCTGTTGAGTCAGTCAGGATTGCACATTTAAAGGATATGAGTGTATGGTGATCACTGGCTGAGGAGACTGATGTTGACCTAATAAGATAGCACTATTTGTCACCTTTTGATACAATGCATTCGCTAGTGACAATATCCCAATTTAATTTAAAAGAATGTGTGTGTTTATGGGTTGATTAGCTGCCCCCAAGTAGCCCCTAATTGCACGTTTAGGACTCAAAAAATCCCATATTATATAGATCCTAGGCAACTAGGCAAGATCCTGCTAACATGTCACAATATTTAAATGGTATATATAATTGAGATTTTTTTCATCTGGGTAATAGACAAACACAAGCTTTTGTGGCATGTGTTAGATTCCAATAGGGTTGCAAAAAGTGCCACTTAAAATTGCGTAGTAGACAAATCCCAAAATACTTTAATATATCTCTATAACTTTACGATGTGTGCAATATGTTTTTTTAATGCAATAACTCTGTCCAGGTACAAAATTACTACTTATTATTGTATAACTGGCTGCTAGTCGACTCACTTTTATAAAGCTACGTTTCATTTTCAATTTTTTTGTTGCCTTTTCTAATTTATTTCACATGTGCTTTGCTATTTTATTCAATATCTTGAGCTACTTATTAATTATCTGACTTATATCTGCACTGACTACTGTGGGACTAATTATTTGTTTAGTGTTCAGTGAACGCTGGAAAGAGTTCTCTTGCTTTCCTTTTACTTCAACAAGCAATTGGTTGTATTTAAGTGACTACTGACAGCAGCCCAAAGGCAGACCTTAGCTCACTTGTTTATTTATCTCATACCATCATGCAGCATATTTTCCATTTTAAATGATGAACTGCATTCCTACTCCAGTGAAACATTCCAGCCTTTTGGGAGTACAGTCAAGTTGTAATTCTAACAAGAGCTCTTGAATTCTTATTTATGGGTGTAATGTTAAGCATTTACCCTTTTTAAAGGGGCCTTAAGCTACGCCGGAGGGCCTGCCTCTCAAAACACTTGAGGCTATACGGTTTGTTTAACTGTACTGGAAAACCTGGAAATATGCTGCCTAAATATGTATGACTTCCTTTTTACATGCTGCTTGAGGATACTGTTATTTCAAATGCTTACTAAATACATTATAATTCAAGTATTTCTAATATGATGTGGTGTATTTTTCTGCTTTCCCTCCAGACATGAATGACACCCTCAGTGAAAACAACGACACAGTGGGGCAGATTGTCCACTACATCATGAAAAATGAAGGTATGTGTCCAACAACAAACACTAAATAAATCCCTTTTGCCCCTTGTATAAACCTGGCTGTAGATAACGCATTGTCATTTGAATTCGTTTGGCTGTTTCCGCCTCTTCCATGAAGTCATTACAGCAGCCCATAAATCTTTTAGGGAGTACATTGTCACTCACTATTTAGGAAACATGTGGGTGTCAGCTTCTTGGCAGTTGCGTGGAAGTTCAACAGCAGGACAGTCAAGTTCATTCAGAGGAATTTCAAGGAAAATTAATAATGACTGTGGTCTGTAAATGGTCTGCAATAGCTTAAATCCCAAAGGCTAAAACGTCTCGATCGTAACATTGTACGTGATAGGCTTAGGGGTGGGACATCTTTAAAGGTCTGACGAATTATAACAGATCCGGCCAGCTAGCCAATCAGATCGGCTATGAGAGGAAATAAGAGCTTTTTGAACATTAAAGCATGTAAACATGTCACAGTACAGGCACAACATACAATTATGAGACCTTAAAATGAGCATAATAAGGCCCCTTTAACTATCAGGAACGTCACCATTTTGTTTTCCATTGACTTCCCACGATGTCTAAGCTGCTATTTGATGGCATGATTCCTCTAAATTGAAACTATTTCCCTGAGGTGAAACATGAAGGTGAATTCATAATAACTCTTCAATGCAAGTTATTGTAGTTCTTTGTTCAGCTGAGTTTACAAGTGGCGACAGGAAAGATAAGGATCAATGCTTGTATTGTGTCCGCTTCATAATGAACACATTCCTTTCTGGCACTGCGGATTAGACCGGTTCTATTGAAACAGCTGTTAATGCTGTTAGTAGGTACTAGGTAGGCACCTTGCTTTCGTGAAAGAGAGGAACTGCTGTTTCAGGTAAACAATGCTTTTGTTGAAAAGGGAACAGAGAAATAGTTTGTTTTGTTATCAGATGTCCTGCAGGTTCAAGCATTAGATTCATTTGTATGACTTTATTCAATCGTTTTTCAAGGTTTTTGGATAAAACGAGACAATGAGTATGTCATCGTAGGCTTTTGGAGACACTGATTCACTTTTTCTGACGTTTTATAGAGCGAAAACCTTTTGATTAAAGAAAATAATGAGTCAAGAGATTTATTTAAATGAAAATAATAGTTAGTTTCAACCCTAGAGATGAACTTAAGCCTGAATATGTGACATCAGGTGATCTCGGACTGGGTCTTTTGGCTGTGCAGAAAAAGCGTTTTTTATCCAGAGTTGATGCAGTCTGTGGTTCAGAGGCAGACAACATTGTAAGGAGTGGGAGACAATTACACTGTAAAAGTTTATACTGCGACTTTTATCCCTGCCACACCTGTTTAGGATACGTGGTGTATTGCAACACCCTTTTCCAACCATAGTGAACGCATGTTTACAGTAACGCCCCTTCACTCTGTGTAGCATGTTTTTCCATATAAACAATACATTAAAAGATGTTGAAGGTGTTTTAAAGTGTTTAGTTCTTGGTATCATGAACCATTGTAAATATATGTCTTCGTAGGAGAAACTATACACATTAATAAACATTTCTGCTGTTTCAGTTCAAATGTCTAATTTAATTTATAAAAAAATCATCATAGACGTCAATTTAATTAACAGTAATACACATGTTGAGCTAAAATGATTTTCCTGAATATGTTTTAAACTACAAGAACTACCATCCATCTTTCATCCTATCCAGCTGACTAGCCTACTTTGAGACACTTGAAGGCAGCATTGTGCTGTTCTGGTGTCAGACCATCATTACCTTGTGTTGATTTGAACTCCTCGCTGCTTTCATCAGGACAGTGTTTGAAGATCTGTCCGTCAGCTGCGAGTGACTCACCGTCACATCGTCACTCTGCATGACATGGTTAAAAATAACTACAACGAAAATAGCCCTTATGCTAATATAGTAAACATCTATTCAACCAGTCAATATTCGACCTAGAAAATGGTCGATGGCAATCATTATTTGGAATACAGGAAGTGACTCTCAGCAGCAGCAGTTTGTGTATAAATAAATATAAGGAGAGGTCTCTATGGGAGCAGTAGTCGCCTCTATGGCTGAGCGAAGGCTGCCATCTACAGATAACTTCTGAGTAAAGGCCTCACAGTGTTGCTGCTTGCTTTCATTGGATGTCCATGTAGCATTATTACAATAAAAACTGCAAATAAAATCACCCTAAAGAATAAAGTACATCTCCCTTTTTGCTTTCTTGTAATTCCCTCAATAGATATTTTGTGATTTTACTTTTTGTAGCTGATGAAAAACCGCAATAGATTTAAAAAATGTAACAATTTTCTGCAGTGAACGTTTAATGTAGTTGGCTAAATCTGCATTTGGCCAGGTTTCTGTTGGAATAATTTAAATAACTAAATGTGTCCAGAAATATATGGCACGTTAAAAATAGTTCTATTTTCTTGTTCTAAAACAAGCCAAAATAAAAGGTCAAAGTGTTCCTGTGTGATTTTGTCTGTTTAGTTGCGACTGACAAGAGGCCTCTTTAAATAATTACATATCCCACATTATAGATTAAAGTCTGATTTGCGCACAAGAACTTGTGAAATTGCCATTTTGCAATTAATCCCTGTCTATACCAAACCAGTGAGAAAAGCAATGACAAAAGTATCTCATGTGAAAAAAACTCATGTAAAATGTGTTTGGTCACAGTTAACGGATTCTCACGGCAGGTAATGAATCAAAACTGCTACCTGGTCTTACATTTAGTCAGTCAGTTACAAAGGTCTTGAAGCCTTGTACCAATAAAATTGCAATTGCAAGTCTGTAATACTTAAAGGCTAAACATATCTAGCAGATACCAAGGATGTAGAAAACCCCTGCGGTGCTACATTTCCTGAGGATGATCCAGGGTGACCAGGAGGACAGAGGTTTCTTCATATGAAACCATAACTTAAAAATACCGCCGTCTACCAACATGGGTCATGTCTGTGTCTCAGTACCGCTCAGCCTAAGGTCTGCAAAACCTCCTTTATCCGTGTGCTCAAGGGGAAGTCAGTGAATGCATCACAGCCAGGCCTTAGGGAATCTTGTCTCAGGGAGGAAATTATGTAAATCCATATTTGAGTTGATGCTGCTTCGCCTGAAGTTGGTTAGACTTATTGTTCATGTGCACTGTAAGGACATTTCCTTAGGCCGAATTACTGACCATTAACCAGAACACTTTTAACCAGAAGAGCTTTTGTTGCTTTGATAAAGTTTTTTTCTGATCTGTTGAATTCCTCTGAGATCATTGTGCTTATTTAATTTGCAATTTAATTGTGTTAGAGAGTTTATCTGCTATCTTTCAATAAGCGCTTTGCTTTTGAAATCCCTGGAGCGTTTTCTGCACTAATCCCCAACAGTGTTTTTACCCCCCCCCCTCTCTCTCTCCTTTGTTCTAACTGTGTAAATAACCGTGTCTATGTTTTCTTCTTCAGCAAACTCAGACGCGCTGAAAGCCATGGTTCATGAAACCAGCATCGACTCTGATGGGTGAGTGTTTAACTGTTGAGTATTACCCATCTCCACCAGCAGATGGCACCATAAGCCTCTCTGTTAGCCTGTTGGTGCTGAAAAGCGAGAGTGGCCAGAGCAGGAAGTGACCGATAGCCAATCAGGCCACATTCTCTCTGATACCTTTCCAGATTGGCAAGGTTTGATTTAGAGCAAACAGCTGGGGTATTTCCCCCATGTGACTGCGCCCCATATATCAGTGTTCTTGGATTATTAAAGAGCACAGTTGTTGGCATGTTTACTTTTTTGAATTTTTGGCCAGACTGTGACTCAACTTAGAAAAGTAAGTGTAGGGGTAAAGAAGTTTTACACTAGAGACTTTATCATGAAAAAATACCAAATATATTTTGGTTCCAGCTTCCAAATAAAATATGTTGTTAATAACAAATCTTTGGCAATAAGACTGTTGGTCAGACAAAACAAGCAGTTTACTTTTGATACGTCTTCTCTGCAACATTGAATCTTTTAGAGAACGAAATATGAACTTAAAGGTCCCCTATTGTGCTCTTTTTCATCAATATATTATAGTTCTCAGTTATATACAAAACATGTCTCTGAAGTGTTTGGCTCGAAATACCAAACAGATCATGCATTGCACAGGTTTTTATATAAATGGATCAGGACAAAAAGAGAGCGAATCTTTTTTCACGAAACGTTCAGAATCTCTTTCTACATGTTGGTGTAGAAAAGACATGAACAAGTGGATTTTGCATAATAGGTGACCTTTAATATTTGAAGATGAATCGGTGGAGAATTACATTTCCCCACATGTAGTTTTGAGAGGAAGAGAAAAATACATATCTTTTTAAACCTTTCCCAAACCAAAAATGCATTTGGACATCGTTAGATATGCACATCGTGAGAACCGAAAGCTAAGTAAGCTAACGTGCATTAGCGACGTTTTAGCAGTTAGTTCCAGCCCTAACAGGAATCTAAAGTCCAGCATCCCTTACCAGCATAACATCTATTTGCCTCCGAATTAATTTCCCTCCAATTTTGACGTTCACATCTACAATCAAAGGCCTCCTGCTAGCCATTTGGATACAACCCCCCCCCCCCCCTTCATAAGAGCAGAGGCTGACGGTACAAGCCCAGATTAGACGTCTTCACTCTCCTCAGCGCTGAGATAAGGAGAGAGGGAGACGGGCTGATGGGACCGACTGGGCCCGTGACAGAGATGGAGTGTTAGTAAATCGAGTTAGCGGAGTATGTTTCCTTCTCTCTGTCTCTCCTCCTGTCATCTTCCCGCTGTCGTGGAAGGAATGGAAAGAGATGAAGAGACGTTACGGGTAGGTTTTTAGTACTGCACCGGTTTAGGTATCGCTCTCTGTCCCTCTTTCTCTTCCTGTTGCTCCTCTTCCTCCGAAGCCAGGATGGGCAGAGTGCCAGAGGATCACTTAGAGATGCTGGAATAAGGGGGGTATCGGCGGGGGTAATGTATGGGACACTTAACGGGGGAGAGGGAGACAGGCAGAAAAGAAGAGGAAGGAGAGTGACTGTAGTGTGTCCAGGCCTCGCTATCTGCCGCTCCAGATTCGGTGCTTAACCTCCCCTCACCACCCGTCCGTCGGCTGATCTCCACTCTGTCCTGCGTTTACCCTCCCTCATGATTCACACCTCAGGAATCCTCACCTTGTACACGAGTGTCATACATATTCTTTATCCATCCATTTTTGCTTCTCACATTCATGTCACACATTGTTTACACCACTGGTTCCCCACCTTTAAAGCAAATCGATGTCTCCTTGTGCTCTCCCATCTAACAGTTCTTATTTCTCTGGATTTATTTCACCCTCGTTTTGTTTTATGGAGTAAAAAGTCCTGTGCTGCCTTAAAAGATTAGAGAAGAAGCAAAAACCAAAATATTATTCTCCTTTGTGTATATTCGAATTGAACTTGCAACTCATGTGGGGTTTGACGCACATTATTATTATTATTATTATTCTTATAAACACCAACGCTAGGTTGAAGTACTTATTAATGAAGAATGTAATGGAGCTACTGTGACTAAACAAAATGCCACTACTGGAACGACTTGACCTCATATGTTGTTAAGATAAAAATAGAGGAACCAGGAACCAAATTGAGTTGATTTAAGCTCAGGTGGCAACAAAACTTCCCGCTCTCCAGTTTTCCCCACACATTTGCATAGCTGAGCGTCACCCATTTGTCAAACACAAACACAGCAACATGTGCGTGACCTTACGGGGGAAATTAGGAAGTAGTTTCTGGCGTTGTGTGGTGAAAAGCCTCCAAAAGGATGTCGCAACACAATACATCCCATGGTTTTGTAATGTCATTTTCTGACGTCCATGTACTGTATACACATTTAGGAGATACGCACATTAATGCATCAATAGTACGAGATTCTCAAACAGTAATTATTGCTTTAATTGTATTTTCATGCCACTTTTACTTCAATAATAATTTGATTGCAAGCCTTTCAATTGCAGTACAGCATTTCTACTTTGTGTTATCACTATTTTGACTGAAGTAAAAGTTCTTCTCACACCACTTTTTTCTTACATTAAAAGTACATCTATCTCCTAGGAGACGTGACTCATTTTTCCCTTTGTCCCTCGACACACGTTCTGAAAACACTGTGTATTCTCCTTTTGTGTGTGAGCAATGTGAGGAGCTGCTCTCCAGGGTCATGAAGCATGCACACAGTGTTCCTCTCACCAAAGCAGACGATGTGTGGAGATCAAACGAACACCTAATCCGCCTTTTATTAGTCTCTGTGCGCACACGTCTAGATCAACACTGAAAGTGGAGAGAAGCGTGTCAGATTGACCTCTTTTTCCAGCCCCTCCTGATCAGGTGTCTCAGAGAAACTCAATTATTGCTTTTTAAATCATTTTCAAAGACTGGTCAGTGTTTGTTTGAAGACGTAAGGTATGAATGGGTCACAAAGGACACGCTGCAGAGTTAATTGAGCTACAATTCATTCCTGTAAACGGAAACATAGCACTGAATGTAGGTCAGATGTTCGCCTGTGCAAGGTCTCACTTTTGACTGGAACCCCCCCCTCCTAATTTTCATTTTTTTCCATCTTAATATGTTGCATGGTGCTTAAACAATCTACTGACCTATAACATGTCTTGTTTTCCCCTATTTGTTGCATATTAACTGCTCTGGGACTGATTTAAATTATGTTTTATTCTGCGCCGCTTCCAATTATAGTAATCAGCATCATCTTGATTACACACGTCATAATTAAAGTGCAACTGTGTACTGTAATGTATCATTTATCATAATAATTGGGTCATTACTGTAGTTAAATCACCCCTAAACCCTCTCTTACTCACTAAATTCTCTGTTTTCCAGTCCTCCGCTCACCCCAACCTCTCCCGGCACCCCCCCGCTGACTCCCATATCCCCGGGTGCCCCCCAAGGAGCCCCCAAGCACACCTGCAGCCACCTGCACACCATCGGGGGCCTGGGGGGCCACAAGAACATCTGCAACCGCTGCAGCCAGAAGAAGTGGCCGCTGATGAGGAAGCTGTCGGCGAGGAGGCCGGAGCAGCGGCGCATCCAATCAGGAGAGGTCACGGTGCTCGCTGTGGGCAGGTGGGCAGGTGTGTGTGTGTCTGGGTCAGAGAGGCAGGAAGTAGAATAGGGGGGGGGGGGGTTGTTTTGCTGCTTTTAGATGAGTTACGATGAATTTCTTCGGACGGTAGGGTTGTTTTCTAAGTAGTTACATGCTAGTGTGAGTGGGGATGCATTCATATGTGTTGACAACTATTTTTCATTAACTTATTTTACATGTATTAAATTATTAAAAGAAAATGCTTTACTGAATAGATACCCATGAACACAGTTTTAGTTCACACACTAGCCATCAAACATTAAACCCTAAAAGTCCACACTTAATTACACCAACTAACATTCCTGTGCACTTTGACCCCAGACCAGCCACGTGGAACATGTGGACAGTCAGCAGGAACCCTGGGAAAATAGATGCGGCAGGTTCAGCCTGGGTTATGTTTTTTTTTGGAGAAGCCTCAGTGGTTAACCTGTGTTGTGGAGCTGCACCATGGCAACAAGGCCAACAGGACATTTCTCCCAAAACAGACTGATAGCAGAAAATAAATGTGTGATGTACACAGTACGTCAGGTGAGAGTGGAGCATCTTGTTGTTGACAGATTTGAAACTTACCTACTTTTTTACCTTATTTTCAAAAGAAAAGCCTGTTTCGCCAGTTCTTAATGTGATGTGGTGGGAGGATGTTTGCAGTGACTTCATTCAGCAGAAGGGATATAACAGTAAACCGAAAGAAACGGGAGGCATGGACTTGGCCTCTAATAATAAAAACTACTATATAATATGGCTATGAGATGTAGAAAATCAAATCTTACAATATTTTCTTGGTTCAGAATCGTCAGTAATGTGGATATAATGACTTAGAGGGTAAAGAAACAATACAAATGTACATCTCTTTACCGTCGTGCCACCTTTAAAACTAGGAAAACACAATGCTGTCATATAGTGATATTACAATATCCAAAATCTGGCAATAGGGAGTTTTTCCCCCAATTGGCTTTTTTTTTATGATTTTAAAAATGTTTCCAGTGTTTGAAATGGGTTTAAGAAACTGCCCTCTCTCATAGTAAGATACAGTTATCAAACTGTGTTTCAGATTTATTCAAATTTAAAGGAACATTTGTGAGTCCACCAGTGAACCGGGAAAGCCTCCTCCCGCTGCGATGGATCGGGATGCAGAGCGGTTTGCTTTTCGTTTACGCCCCCGAGATTAATGGGTCAGCATGACCTGGATGCGAATATTCATTTGCAGATTTAATTAAAGCTTTGGAGTGTGTGAGTGAACAGGTGCCTTTGAGTGGGTGGGAAGATGATAGAGGAGTAGAGCGGAGGTCACAGCGAGTGTAATTGTGTGCATTATTAGCAAAGTGTGGAAACCAGCTGTGGCACAAATGAGAATAGCCGATCCCCGCTGAGTTTATCCATTAAAGGACCTTTTTCTGTTTGTTATTTATCTTTCTTTTTATGACTATACAACAAATCAACTTCATCTAGGTTATATATATATTTTTGAACACTTTTTTTTTTTGGACACTTTTCATTATAAAGAAAAATGTAATTTAGCAATCAGATACATACAGTAGATGCAACAGTGCACATTTCAACCAGACGACCACAAAGCAGATCAAATATACCCCCCCCCCACACACCACCATGAAAGAAAACAACTAAATAAAAAAAATAAAAAACTGAGTAAATGAGATAAGTATTCTCATAATAGACACAAAAACTAACGAACAACAAGCAAAAAGAGGTTTTATTTTATTTTGACATAGAAAAAATGAGTCTTTGTACATTTGTTCCAGCGGTTCCCAGAGGTTTGTCTTAATGAACCGACTCTGCAGAACGTACTTCTCATTTCCCCAAACGTCAAAAAAACCATTCAAAACCTTTCTCCTTCCTGTCTCCTCTCAGGTTCCGGGTGACGAAGTGTGAAAAGCCGGCCCGGGAGAGACGGACGCTGCTGATCACGGACTCCAACGGGAGCGTTCCTACGTCTCCAACGGAGGCGGAGCCTAGGAGCCGGACCAACTCCGAGTCCCAGCAGGTGTGTGTAACGGAAACTTCCCCACCCCGCTCTCTCTCTGTGTCTCTCTGTGTCTCCCATGGAGCTCTACCCCAGTGTTCATGTAGGCGGAGTTATTCCTGTACGTTGCTTCTCTGTGCTCTCTTGGTGATGTGAGAAACTCTTGGTGACATTCTGAGAGCATTTTAAAGAGTCACTGAAAATCAAACCGCATCAATAATAAGCCTCTCTGTTTGCACTTAACATCACAGGAACTTCTCAAGGTGATCTTGAACAGCTTTGCTTAATTTTCATCAGTGACTATAAAGCGTTCATAAGAGCGTGAGGAGGAGTTGTGTCTTCCTATGACGCAGATATCGAACAACAATGAAAATGTCCTTGTGGAGGATTTCTTTTCAGGTTCTTTTAAACACTCCGAAAAGAAAAACTAACAGATGAGGCTCCCATTGCTTATATATCCTCAGTGTTAGTCATCAGATGTGCTTTACTTATATTCACGTTTAATGTTCACACAAAGCGTTATGGCTGGAGGTTAATGACCCTATTTTATAGATAACACGATATCAAATACAGTAGAGAATGCTATGTTTTAAAGCTACTGTTGCAACACTTTTAATGTGAAAGCATGCTAGGCTTTTTTTGTGAAAGGAAAACATATCTACAGTTGGTTAACATAGGAAAGTCTTTTTTTCTCAAACCATATTTAGACGCTTTCTTTATTTTATGAGTTTTGGAACATGGCTTCAACCAATATATTCAAATGACATCTCGAGAACAGCTCAAACAATTTGGACAACAAAACATCTAGGAGAAAACACAAAGCTTTGTTGTTTAGCAAGACAGGAATTAGCTTTTGTTTTTTCTCTACATTTTCTGAAATGAAAGCTTGGAAATATGAGAGTCTAGAGTCTGTTTGGACTCAGCAACCTTGACTTTCATTTGTTCTTGGGTGGAGAAACATAACACTCATGTTCTACCGATGGTACCAATGCAAAGAATCCAATCACAGCTTTAAAACACATTAACATCCGTGTTTGTCTCGTTCCATGCTCTCAGCTCACATATTGACTCTTAGCTTTCCCGTATTGACTGTGGGAGAAAGGAAAACCGGCCTTCAGCCCAAGAAAGTAAACAAACCTGATGGCAGAACACGCCTAATCTGAAGATTATTCATGATTATTATCCGTATTAAACCCCCTCGTATTACCGTCTACAGGAGGAGAAGGACGACGACGTGGACAAAGAGAACCGATAGCAGGATCCAGGGGAGGAGGAACATCAGGTCCAAACCCTAAAAAAAGAACAATAAATCATCAGCGCTGGGAGGAGGGGGCAAGTGGACCAGGGAGTCCCCCCCCCCCCACATTCCTGCTCCATGGGGGGCAAAAGAGCTGCTGATGGTGGACACGGTGGCAAGAGCGGCCCCATTTTACAAGGAGAAAAGGGTGTGTCTATGTGTGATACACTTTCCTCTTAAAAAATATTTCAAAATAGTGCCTTGCGCAAGAGCGTCTAAGCAAGGCGGCTGCTTAATGTCAAGGGACCCCGAATGAGGGCTTTCCCGATGAACTAAGGTGACTCAATACGCCGATCATGTGTGTTCTTATGTTGTTGTAAGTGGAGGAAAAGAACGGATAAGCCCAAAAAAACAGATACAGCCATTCCAAGACCTAACTACGGGTCGCCATTCTCAAACGGGAAGTAGGAACGACCTCTGATAGCATCACACGAACAGGAAGTAGCCTGTAGATTGGCAGCGGGTGTGAACATGACGTGCCTTATCTTCCACTCTACGACTAAAGAAGAAAGTGTAGTATTCTGTGTTGAACAACAAATTAGCTTTATCCAACATGGCTGCCTTGGTATTTTTTTTCTTAAAGGGACAGCATGTGTTTATGTTACCAAAAAACTTAAAGTCTGTATACTCAGGCAGGTCAGTTTCGATTTTTAATTTTTTGAATGTGTCAGAGAGCTATTACTCAAGATTTAAACGCACCTCCATTGTTTTTTTTATTTATATGTTCTTTATCAGCTCATAAAGTTGTCTATGCTAACGTGTTAGCGACTTAGTGCCTGTTTACAGCATGCATTGAGAAACATTAGCATTCATGTCCCCCTGAGGAAGTCCAGCACTTTCTTTTAGCTTGGATTTGGCCTCGACAATACCAGGAATAGTTTCTGAATGATGGTAAATGTAGGATTAAGACGTTTGCTAGCTAAATCCACAACAGATACCAAAGTTCAGTAAATCTTGGCCTTTCTGTTTTATCAATCTTTTTTAAAACACGAGTTCTTTATGGAGGTACGATATGACATTAATAGAGAAGCCTTTTTTGACCCAACAATATTATTTTCACAAATGATCAAAAAGTATAATTTTAGGAATGCTTTCATATTGTCCTTTCATTGTCTCATTTAAAAAAAATATTTATACATGTTGTTATTCATATTTTGGGACAGTTTGCTGTGTTTTTATCTTTGTATAAGGAAGAAAATAAAGATGACTAATACATATCAATGAAGGAATAAGTCTCTTTATTGTTGACCACTACCCCCCCCTCTCCTGAGCGAGCCATCCATCTTCATATTCTATTCTTTCTCATTTCCTTCCCTCATCTCTGCACCCTCCTTCTTTTTTCCCGCCGTGATAAAAAGATAATTTGTCTTATTCATCTGGAGTAGGTTGTCCGACGACCTCAGGCTCTCTATCATATTATTCTCAGGTAATATGAGACGGAGACGGAGAGGTGTTTCCAGCATTAACAATCCTTGACACTTTCGTCTCTTCTTGACCTTCTCAGTCTTATCAAGATCAGTCAAGCAGGAAGTCTCTGACCTTAAAGAGACAGTAGATCGGTACAAGAAAAGATACACATCGGTTAATTTCGGGTGACGTGTTAAAAAAGAGTGACACGCGGTTTCTTGCTGGTGGGAAGTGTTGAACGTGAGGAAGAAACATTTACATACGGTTGGAAATAAACCCTGATAGCACACAAGGTGATGGACCCAACCCATATCTTTAGTCTCAAAGCAAACCTGCCTTTTAAACACACACACACACACACACACACACGATAGCTTTGGGGTGTTAAACCTGTCCAACAGACGCGCTTGACAGTGCACGACATGAATAGGCAGCACAAATAACCTGGTGCAAATATTGACTCCAGTTCCAGTTGCGTGTTTACTTGCTCTGTGCCATGGAAGGTTTCTCACACTACATTAAAGCGACTACAAGAATTCCACGAGGAAATTAGCTATGCACATAAGAAATGGCATAGATTATAACAAAGCTCTGTACGGTCCTTTTTCCATGACTCCGTAAGCAGTACATCTATCTGAGGCTGTGAATTATTCAGGCCTCCAGGCGACAGTTCCCATGCCGATGCCAGGCTAAGTGCCCTACATCTTATCTTTGCCGCTGGATATCGGCCAGGAGGATGGAGCTCTGGCTCAGAGGAGTTTTTTTTTTCTTTTTTAAGGGGAATATTTGGGTCCAGAGGGAGGAAGTCTAGTCAATGTTTAACACCTTTCGAACTACAACAGGACCTGTAGACGCAGTGACCTTCTCAAATGGCTCACTGCCCACCTTTCCTAAACTCAAACAGTGTTATTCCAATCTGATCACATGGTCTACACCAGGGAAAACGGCTTATATATCTTAACCACAGTTACAGTAGGAGTTAGTTGGTCTGGTATTAAGAGCACATTTTGCTAGTTAAGTTTTAAACCCTTGATCATTTTTGCTACCTCTATAATGGGAAAAATAAAATTCCAAAAAGCCACAATGCACTAATCTGAGTAGAGTTTTCAGTGATAGTGGAGCTTCTGTCAAGTAAAGGAAAGGGTAACCCGGAAGAGAAAATCGGTACAATAGGCTAAAAGTAACTACTGGGTCATGTTCTTTTTTTTTTTTTATTTGTGGAAGTTCTCCTTCAGGACAACACAAAGAAAAACCTGCAGTATCTGAGGCTGTCACATAATTCTGATAACTCTGTTCGAATTGATCAATTTGGGTGGTTTTGGTGAAGGGAGGCCTGATGGAACGGGCTGTTGGCGTAGCTACTTGGCAACTTTCTTGCTAGAAGTATCAGAAATAGGAGCTAGTGTTGTTAGCTACTTTAATAGGAAAAGGCTGGGCTTGTTTTTTTTTATGTTTGATACTTTTACCACACCCTTGCTAGCTTCTCGACATAAGCAAACGTAGCTTAAGTTTTAGTACTATGTTCTTCCATTTTGAAAATAATGACTTTTGTGTAATTTGCCATTTCTTTGTATTTTGAGCAAAAAGAGAAGGGGGGATTATTATTATTATTTTGTTTGAGTGACGCTTCAGTGCTAATGCTAACATAAAATAGGGCGTGGTCAAACTCGCCCGTGAACAAATTGCTTTGTGTCTGGTGTGAACAAACTAGGACAATAAACGCAATACCATTTTAAAAATGACGCCTCAAAACTGATTTCATACAACGTTTTATTCACAGTCGATTGATTGCTTTATTCCGGTCTTTTTATTGATGGTTTTGTTGTTTTTGGTTTGACATTGTTAATGATTTCACCTTTTTCTGCGAGCCACTTTGTAACTTTGTATTGATAGTGCTATACAGATTTTGCTAATAATCTTCTCTACTAGTGTTTTCTTTAGGCTAGGTCATTTAAGCATTCACCACTGAACCGAATACACTTTCTTGGTAGACATTTTAAATATTTAACCAAGCCGAAAACATTAGCTAATTCTCAAAACAGTGTGGACTACTTAGTTTTCTTTTGGGGAAAGATAACATTTTAATAACCACACTGATTAATGTGTCTAAGAGAGTAAGAATCAGTAGCATAATCCTGTTTAAGGTGAATATTTCTTCATTAAATACAGTACCCATTCCTCTGAGACGATGAAGTGTGTGTGTGTGTGCCACAATTAAGCGTGACATCATTAACTCCAACAAAGCCTTGAGAAAAACAAACATGTTAACTGAGTGCTCACACACCTTGGGGACTCTACAGCCGGCTGCCTAATGGACCTCATAAAACAACACGGAGGAATCTGACACACAAGTGCTCTTTATTTGCCTCCGTGCACGTTCAACACGCAGCAGGTTGTGCCACAAATTAGCTTGTTGGAAAATAACTTTTGTGCTGGAGTCGGGGTGAGGGGGATTGATGACCGAGAGTCACTGGGATGACAGCAGCAGTGACAGATACTGAGAGGTCACTTAATAATGGAAAACAAGATCGAAAGGAGGACTCCATTTCCTGCTTTCGTACAGGAATGACACACACACACACACACACACACACACACACACACACACACACACACACACACACACACACACACACACACACACACACACACACACACACACACACACACTGTTTTTGTCACTATAAATAATCCCTTCCCCTGATCTAATGGTTCTTTTATAAACCTAATTTTCATGCTTTAAAATAAGTACAAATATTAAACGGTAATATTGGTATATATTTTGCTATAGAATCATCCTGTGAAAAGACCAAAGCAGAACATTAATATATCCTGCTTACAAGTCAATATTCTAACTGTAAATGCCATAAAATAGACCACATCCGTGCTTATTCATGCCTGTACACATAGTAAATTATATTTTTATTCAGATATCAATTTAAAAAAGGGTTGGAAATATTCTATAAAAGCTGGACGCTGTAGGTTCTAGCAAAAGAGGATAAAATATTAATAAATAGTAAATTTGTTCGGAACTATTAAATGTAATCTAGGTCAATGTAAGGCTGTATGTGGAAGTGAATCGAACTAAACTACAGTGGATGTGTTCAACGTAGGCAAATACTTAACCTAACAGTATGGCTCATATGTGTTTTTATTAGTTTTTTGGACAATAAAACATCAAATATTTAATTAGTAAGACTCCGAAACCTTGTCCGAATTCCAGGTGTTCAATCAGAAAAGCCCAGGTGTCCGTGTTCAGACGTTCATCAAGGCTAACGACGCCAAACAGAGCACACCTGTGCGTGTTCAAGCAAGGCTTCATGGGAAATGTTGTTCACAGGGTTGTTCCCAAGGTTCAAAAACACTGAGCAGGACTTCTGATATGTTTTCTTCTTTCTGTACTGATGTATTTTTTGTTGTAATACCTTCAGGAGCTACAACCGTGGACCACATTTCCCATGTGTGCTTCTGTAATCCAGCACAGGTGTGGTCTGTTTGTGTGCTCATTAACAGCCCTGAGATTCCACTTGGTCAAACATTTGCCATGATGAAGGTCTGAGGGCGAGAGCTTTTCATTGAAATACCCAAAATACAAAAGGCTTTGTGTCCTACTGTAGATTGGATGTTCTTGGACTTCTTGCACTTAGCTGAGTTGTTAGTGTGCTGGCCTTCTGAAAAAACTAGAAAAGACAGAAAGCATTGAGAGAAAAACGCACCGTTTTGTTGGGGTTAGCCTAAATGCATGCATGGGTGGACACCTTTTTATATAATTACAGGCTCATCGAACTCAATTCCCCCATGCATATATACTAATAAAAAAAACTTTTAATTGGGAGAACTTGCAGAACAACATGGATTTGGAGCTTTTCATTTCTGTCTTTCATATAAGGATCAATCGTGTAATTTAGTCATGATTTTAATAATTTCAAACATGCTGAAAGATCAAATGCTTCCTCACTGGTGGATAGGGCCGCTCAATTAATCGTATTTTAATCGCAATTACGATTTTGGCTTGCAACGATATGAAAACGACATAATCGGAAAAAAAACGACTATTTAAATTTTTACATTTTTTTTATTGGTTTTTCAGTTGAATTACAATTAAAGTTCAGGGTAATCAACTGTTAAAAACATACTTTTCAATTTTTTCTTTTAAATAAATGGATGTTTTCAAAGTAAATGGATAATCATTTTTAATAATTGTGCCAAATAATCGAGATTATGATTTTTGCCATAATCAAGCATTTTCTAACCCTTAGAAAAACAACAGCAAAAATGACAATTAAATGAAATCAAGCACCTAAATAACAAATTAGTTTCTGTGGTGGTCACATTCGTCATATTTTCCTCTTTTTTTTTTGAAGAAGAAGAAGTCACAAACCAACCTGAAAGTGTGGTTTAATTTGACCTTGGTATATTTGTTGATTCATCACATGTTGAATTCAATGCTTATCCCACCAGCTATGTTCAAACCTCTGTATAAGTGCCAAAATAACTCCCCAGCTGCTTATCTATTAATATCTCATCTACCTTTATGTGAATCCTTGAGAAGGATCAAAGTAATCTGGTGACGCACATGCCGAGCTCGGCTCTGTTGTTTTGTAAATTGATGAGTCACTGGTTTGATTAAACAGGAACTCCGCAGCAGATCCTGTTGTCATCACACTCCATTGATGTATGGAAATATTCTTTCCTCATTTCGCAAGACAATCACACTCTCACACACACTCACACACACACTTTGGTGCATTCAGAACCAGAAGAATGACTCTAAAAAGTGTTTGAAAATATATGAAAGGGACATTTTTGCAAGTTTAAACGGGCAATTTGCAAAGGCTATTTGACAAATGAGTGTTCAAAACGCCTTATGTCCTAAAACACCTTGTGAAAATCATTCAAAAACAACCAGATAGAGAACCAAGTTTCAGGCTTAAGAGAGGAAGACTGTAATTGTGAGACCCATGGAGAGCAATTATAGTGACGAGCAGAGAGCAAGAGGGATGAAGATAGAAGAGAGTGGGTGTGATGAATAGATAAATGTCCAAAGAAGGGTCTAATTTTGGTGTCGTTGGGGCTGTGTTCCTCCTCCGGCTCTGACATGGACACGGAGACGGACAGGAACAGCCTCTCCTGCAGCGAGGAGCCTCACTCAGCCGGAGCAGCAGGACTCTCTGTCACTCAGGCTGTTGTGGAAGTTTCCAAGGTGCTCACTCCGAGTGTTAATGGTTCAAGTGAAAAGCCCTGAGGTGTTCATTATCCGAGGCCCCGGGGCCCTGGACGCCGCACACCGAGGCTCTAACTGCAGCGATGGCAAGATTTGAACTCTCAATTCCCTCAGCGATCACTTCATGGAGAGGGAGGAAAGGAAGCACTAGTAAACAAGCATTTGCTGTCATGAAGAATCATAGCATCTCTAAAAAGGGCCTGCTTTTAAAATATGTAAAGATTGAATACACTATTAGGGAAGACAATTTAAAACAACTTAATAAATATGCAACACTGTTATCCAGTGAATATATAATGTCAATATAATAAGCTCTTCTAGCTTTGAAGCAGGGG